AAAAATCTGAGATTAAGAGTCTAACAATGACCATGTAACCATTGCCAATCGTTGGGGAAAAACCCATCTGGTTCACTAATGTGCTTTCGGGAAGAATACTGCCCTTCTTACCTGGTCTGGCTGACATGTGACTCCAGACCCACAGCAATGTGGTTATGTTAACAATTAGGGATGTGCAAAAATTGCTGGCCCAATCAGAGCTACGCTCATTCTGTGAATGGATTAAAAAATACAGAAGAACTAGGAGCAGGAGTAGGCCATTCACCCCTCGAGCCTGCTCTGTAATTTAAGACAATCATGGCTGATCTCATCTTCGCCTCAACTCCACTTTCCTCCCTGATCCCATAACCCTTCAACTCATTACTAATTGAAAATCCGTCCATCTCCTCCTAAATTTACTCAATGTTCCAGCATCCACCACACTCTAGGGGAGGGAATTCCATAGATTCAAGATTCTTTGAGAGAGGTAATTCCTCTGCAACTCTTTTGTAAATCTGCTGCCCCTTATCATAAAACTATTTTATCTGGATTGTCCGACATGAGGAGACATCCTGTCTGTGTCTACTCTGTCAATTCCCTTTAGCATTTTAATGTACCTCAATTAGATCACCTCTCGTTCTTATAAACTCTAACTCTTACATTATGTCAAACATTTGTTTGAAGCTTTGCAAGCGATGAATGTAGGACAGATAACCAAAGTGTGAGAAGGGTTACCAGCTCGATGTCAGGTTTTTAGTTTTTGTTATGCTGAGGGTCGTTTCCTGGTCCTTGCTAAACATTCGAATAACTAATGGGTGAGGTGCACAAACCACCATTCCACCAACTTCGGAATGTGAACATGGAAGCTGGACTCAAGTGACCCCAATAACTCCAGGGACTGTTTGGAGTGATTGCCTGTTCAGAAATTGTACTCTGGTATTTGCTGATTTATAAGATTGTACAAAATTTACCAGTTAATTCAGGGTCCTTAGCCAAACCTATCCTCTTTGCTGTTAGCCACTTGCACTGTTCTGTGGCTCAGGGACACAGCCTGCTTCCTCCATTTAGATGCCTCAACTGTACTTGGAGAGCTTACAGTGTCTTGAAGCATCTTTAGTGCTAAGCCACTATATGGACAAAGCAACAAGTCCAAGAAGAAGTGAAGGCTATTGGCTACACACCCTGCTGTCTGGTATTGGGTATTTGAAGCTTTGTGTTTCTCAACTATGATGTGGAGGGGCCGGTGTTGGACTGGGGTGGACAAGGTCAGAAATCACACGACACCAAGTTATAGTCCAACAGGTTTATTTCAAAACACAAGCTTTTGGAGTCTTACTTCTTCTTCAGGTAACTATAACTGTTGGATTATAACTTGGTGTCATATGATTCCTGACGTTGTTTCTCAACTAGGCAGAGGTTAACTGGAGAAGGCTAACTTAATTCTAATGAATTGGGCTTTTAACAAGGTGATAATGCATAAATATATATACATTGAGAAAATACTCAACATATAAGTTAACTAGCCCTTTCCTGCCATGGAATTAATAGTTGGTCTAAAATTTTCACCCACCAATCCATGTTTTACTTACTGGCACCTTTTACATGGGTACAAGGGAACAAACAAGCAATCACATAGCAGGCCATGGATCACAGTGATGGCATGTTACAAAAATGCATGTGCTTTTAAGATGTGCTTACATGGGTCTGGAAAATGAACAACAATGACAAGCCCCCACAACCACAATGGTGGTGCCTTTTATACGTTTAAAATCAATTCCCTTTTGGAGAGACTTTTCAGGACATCAAAATCAACTTATACGGTGACATCTCTGGTACTTTGGAATGGAGTAAGAGATTTATCCGCAGTGCCTTGGCTACTATTTATCTCTCAATCAACATCGCAACAATAGATTCTCTAGCCATTATCATCTTGACGTTTGTGGTTGCTGTTTGCAAATTAACTGTCATGTTCCCCACATTAACTGCAACAGTAACTACATTTTAGAAAAGAACTTTGTTGGTTTGGGATGTCCTGTGTTTGTAAAAGGTACTCCATAAACGTGAGGCATTTCTTTGTCTCAATGGTAACAAGTTATCTCAACCAGCGGTCTTTTTGAAAGTGCCCAGTGTTTTGCCTGTGTTCATAAAATACAGAAGGGAGTTTCTGGTGTGACATTTGATTGGGAGGCGCACAGATTCACTTTGCTTCACAGCATTGTGTAAAATTGGAATGTCCAAGTTCTAGTGGACAGACTGGAACTGAGTGCTTGTTGATATTAAGACGGACTGTTATAATAACCTTCTTTACTCCTTTGAGGAACAGTCACATGCCTGAAATAATAGCCAAACATTTCTCTTTACAGGTCCTATTGGATACTTGTGTGTATCTCTGGCACTTTCTGCTTCTACTTCAGCTATCAAGAATTTCCACATTTTATTTGTATTTCTGTTTTGGTTGTAATAAGAATTTTGTTTACAGTCATTGTTTCTTTGTCTTGTCTTTATCAAGATTCTTCACAAAAGGGTATTTTTGCCAAGTCACATTGCAGATGAGGAGGACTGACAGAAATTCAGGTGTCTGAAGTCTTTCTGTTTCATGGAAAATGAAGAGAGAATTTATTTTCATTTTGTAGAGTCCCTCCTACAGATGTTTATGTAATAATTGCTTCCCATGTTAAATAATATTAGAATGAATGTGTTAGAAATGTACCTCCAAAATGATGTTATCTTCGCTCTGCTGAATAAATGTCACTGGACCTGAAACGTTAACTCTGAATTCTCTCCACAGATGCTGCTAGACCTGCTGAGAATTTTCAGCGATTTCTGTTATTACCTCTGCACTGTTACAGATACATAATATTCAAGATTTAACTTACCTTCCACTCTAGATAACTTTAATCAAACTGTTCTAACATATTACATGAGTAACAGCAAAATTTTGCAGATGTTGGAAAACTGAAATAAATACAGAAAATGCTGTAGGAACTCACTGAGTCTGTGAGCTTACTCACTGAAGAAGAGTCATACTCAACGCAAAATGTTAACTCTGTTTCTCTCTCCATCGGCCTGCTGAGTTTCTCCAGCAATTAATGTGTTTGTTACAATCCATGTCTGGGGGGACATGGGACTTAAACTCTTCTAGCCTAGAGGCAGGGATATTACCATAACACAGCACTAGCCCTACGTTTAATAGTTAGTCATTAATGTTTAATAGTTCCACATCTTGATCTACAACTGAAAAAATCGATATTAACAATTACGGCCATTGCTAGTTCCACTTATCAGCAACTCGACTTAGTTAACTGTATGTAAACTTTACCTTCTGGTCTTAGACCTCAGAATAACATATTGTCCATTGACAATTGGATTAATCCATGAAAACTGATGTAACAAGCTATAAAAACACTTTAACACATAACAGCACTTAGAAGTACATAAAATTGCAATTTGCATTGGTATGATATGAATAACTGATTTTCTCAGCACCAGTGTCATGTTTTCTTCACTCGTAAGCCTCTAACAAGAAGCATCTGTTTAACACTATGAATCACAAATTGAAATGGCTCTGTTTACATTGGGACATATCAACTGGAAAACCAGTTATTGTCTTCAATGGCTGGTGAATAAAGCTTAACCTTTTGCACTTTTAATCAAACTGACTGTAGGAGCTTTAGGTAATGTTAGCTAGCTCTAAACCTAACCCTAACTTTAGTAAAAGGTGCTACATTGCACAATTTATATTTGAAAACAAGTGAATAGAGCATTATGTATCTTTTTTATACATAAAGCTCCTTACCATCTGAGCATGCAAGATATTGTTTTCAGGCCAGCTCTGTCTAACTCTGTACATTCGAGCATGTAAAAGAGGGGATAATAAGCCCAAAGGCAATGCATCATTAATTTCAAAATATTTCCTTTTTAGTATTGATTCACTAATGATTCTTGTGCGACTTCTTTATCATCTGAATGCATTGGTATTTTTTGGGTTTGTCTCAGACCGCCAGTTCTTAGCCCAAGTAACAATTCTTCATAGATTAATCTAATTAAATGTTCAACACATGATAACAAAAGCCTGTATCCTACACTGCAATCTTATTTAATCATGCTTTGCTAGAAATCAGCAATCTGATGATGTGATTGGTCTGGATGATCGAACTGTGTGGAATATCTTTTGCTTTGGTTTGAAAATTCTCATTCTTGTTTTCAAATCCCTCAATGTTCACACCCCGCACTTTTTCAGTAAATGTCTTTCAATCCTACAATTCCTGGAGATCTCAGTGCTGCTCCAGTGTAGCACCTTGCTCATCCCCAGTTTCAGTCAGTCCAGCTTTGGCACCCGTGCCTTCAGATGCTGGGCGAAACCTCCCTGTCTTTCTACCTCATTCTCTTCCTTTAAGACACTTCTCAAAACCTACTTCCTTGCCCAAGCTTTTGCTCACCTGTCCTGATATCTCCTCCTGTCAAATTTTGTTTGACAATGTTCCTGTGAAGCATTTTAGGGGCCATTTTGTGATATTGTAGGTGCTATATAAACACAAGTTGCTGTTAGAAAAATTATGCTGTTAAAAGGGCATTTCAACAAAATTCGAAAAGTGCGGGATTTAAATATAATCCTGTTTGAAATGTGACTACAGCCCGAACATTAGTGGGAATAATTACATTACACAAATGATCATATTTAATTCCTCTCTCCACTATTTCAATGGGGCAGTTGTCTGCTTATTTCAAATGGGCTAGCCTTTGTTAAAATAGTGGAGAGAGGAATTTAGTTTGAATGCATTAAGTCTTTGAACGATGTTAACACAAGTTCCCAGGCTTGTGTGTAAACTTACAAACTTAAAAAAGATCCAGATTGAATTCTTAGCCTTATCTTCAATTTGTCCATGCTGTCCTCAGTTTAAGAAGACTGTGCCAGGTTCAAGTATGATTTATTATTTGTTGGAAATTTGTTTAAATTTAGCATGTTCCCTTCCCTGAAAAATTCTGGAGAAGTCATGTTGCCTTTCATCTCTCTTTCTCAGCCTCCCAACTCTGGAAGGTTCTCAGTCAGATAAAAAGGAATGTTGTATTCAGACTGATGCCATGAATCTCAAGAGGCACTTCACCAAAATGACAGTGGGCTAATTATTCCAGTGAGCTGGTGAGTTTATAAATCACATCAAGCCAAAGATAAAGTAGACAACAGAAAATGGGAAGGGAACCATAAGGAACAGAAATCCTACCAAATCATTTTTGGCTTTGATTTCCCTTAAACAACATGATAGTAGCATTGCCTTTTCATGCTCTGTGTTTTTCTTATCTTTACTTCTTTTTTAGGTAACCGACTGTTTTAAATTTTAGCTCCTTTAAAAAAAAATGCAATGGGCTTGCTGTAGCTGGTCTGGCAAAAAAAAACTATATTTGCTGCTGCAGGGACTTCAGTAAAGACATGAATTATGAAGACCAAGATGAACAAAGGGACTGTTGTGTCGATTTTGTTGCTGAATGGTTTGCGATAATTAATACACCCAACACTCACCAACAAATGGGAACTGCTTCTTTAATGTTCTTCTGATGTGTAGTAAATTGGTTGAGATGCATCTACTTCAAAGATGTCCCATAATTGTAGTTCTATAGTATGCTTGCTATATTGTATGTGGAGAGCATGGAAGGGATTGATATGTGTTTTTAATGACTTGCGTTGAGTGTGGCAGTCAGCAGAGAGGCTTATCAATTCTATGAGGCAGGCATATCTGTTGTAATTATTTTTACACCAGTAGAGACACATTTCATCTATACAGCATGCTTTTGTTTGGTGCTTTACATTTGGAAACAGATTTAGGTATTAAGTGTCTAATGTCTGGGCCAGGGAATCCTTTTCAGAATTAGTAATACTGACCAGAACAGACTGCATTACACTCTCCAAATGGTGCAGTTTTGCATTTGAATGTCCGAATTATCCTGGTTTCTTGGAGACAGGCACAACACCAACATCTTAAATCCTCAAAATATTGTCAGCTTCATTGAATGCTTGTGATCTAAGTATATGTGTAATTATTCTGTAATTCGCCCCAAAATGTGATTTCTTGGGTTTGCCAATGGATTTCCGTCTTTGTAACATGGATGATTGTTTCTTTGTGACAGTTTTTTTTAAGAGATAACAATCGACACTGTGTCCCCCCCCAACCAGTACATATTGACAATTTACATATTGACAATTTACATATTGACAATTTTTACCAGAACCACTTCCCCCACCACCTCCCCACCCTTCTTCTGAAAGTGCTTGATTTGTTTGAGGGGGCACAGCATGGTCATGAAAGACAACTTAAGATAGGATGCATTGAACAGCAACTCTCACAGAATGGACCTAATGTCACGTATAATAGACTTCTAGCAAGTCATGTATAAGTAATTAGAATCTGCAGTTGTTGTGAGGCCTGTTATTGGTATGGGTGCATAGAACTGGTTGCTACAAAGAACTCAGTGTGGTCAAACAGAAGTAGTCCCAATCCCAGTGGTGAGTTGACATGGCACTGGCATTAAGTTATTATTAACCTTGTAGTTTTACAGATAAAATTATTACACTGCCTTTGTTAAATCTGGTTCTGTCAATACTTGTGATTCTAATGTACTGACTGATGAAAGAACTGACCGAGAAAGTAATTGGCAGTTTCACAGAACACATGGATTTTTGTGATACCAAAATGTAATAAACTGTAATGATATAAAGACTTATACAGCACAGTAAAGAAATATGGGAATGAGACAGGTTTTCCTTTCTTTTGTTATTGACCTTGACCTAGGAGTCCTCAGGCCGCAGTGAGAACTTAGGCAAGCTTAGATCAAGGAAGGATTTTAAAATTGAATTTATTCGGTTCAACAAAACCTTCCATGAGAGGATTTACTCTGAACAAGCTGTTGCCAGGTTGGAACCTTCTTAACTCCTTCAGGACTGATGATGTTGGAATATACTTTACACTTGTTAACAGACTCTGTGGTGGTCTGAGCAAATATTTTGTTGCAAAGAGTCTGCTGATTTACAGATGTGCAGTTTAAACACTTGCCGACGAAATCTTTTGCAAGTCTTAAAGAGCAAATTGGAATGGGAGTTGTTTAACCAAAATGTGTTAAACACAATGACAAATCCTAACCCCTGAGTGGGTTAAGGGGACATTGAGCCACTTTGATTTATGATCATGGAATTGCAAACCCCTCAGTTTTCCAAACAAGTTCTACATATTATTGAGGTAGAATGTGTCTTATAAATGTGGCAATTTTGAGAAACCATGACTTATTCTCAAAGTTTTATTGAAGTCATATACTTTCATATATATACAGTTGTCTTCATTTTGAACCAACTCTTCAAAACTTTAACTGTCTGTGTTTGTCTGCTATCGTAAGTTACAAAGCTGAAGTGAAATAATATGGTGCAACTGAGTAAGTCTATGCATTCAGTTTAACAAGTATATCTTTGATCAGTAGTGAGAATTTATAATGTATATAAGATATTCCTGTATGTTAAGATTTTATACAGCACTGCTGGTGTGAAGGGACACTGTGTACCACCGTGCCGATCATAACTATCTCAAAAACTGAAAATTCTTAATCTTATCGAACCTTGTTTGTACCCAAATGTGAAATGATTTAACAGATAAGCACCTGCAGAAAAAAAAATTTTTTCGGTTGTCAAACTGAACAAAATTTTTAAGGTTTCTGCCAGTGATGAGATAAGGAGAATTTTGTTTTACTCAGTCATTATGATCTCGAACGCTCTGCCTGAAAGAGTGGTGGAAGCATATACAGTCTTACATTTCAAAAGGGAATTAGACTGATGCATGAAGGGAAGAAAACTTAAAAGGCTATGCTGGACGTTGTATTCTTGTGTTATAGAGTTATAGACGGTCATAGAGTTATACAGCGTGGAAACTAGTCCAGGCCGAACATAATCCCAAAACAAGCTAGTCCCACTTGCCTGCTCCTGGCTCATTCCCCTCCAAGCCTTTCCTATTCATGTACCTATCAAAATGTTCTTTAAATGTAATTGTACCCACATCCACCACTTCCTCAGGAAGTTCATTCCATACACAAACTACCCTCAGTGTAAGACATTTACCCCTCATGTTTTTTTAAAATCTCTCTCCTCTCACCCTAAAAATGTGCCCCCTAGTATTGAAACCCCCATCCTAGGGAAAAGACTACTACCATTAACTCTATCTATACCTCTCATCATTTTATAAACTTCTATCAGATCATCTCTCAGCTCCTGTGAAAAAAAGTCCCAGCCTATCCAAACTTTCTTTATAACTCAAACCTTCCATATCCTGCAACATTCTAGTAAATCTGAACTGAACCCTCTCCAGCTTGATAATATTCTTCCTATAATTGGGCAACCAGAACTGGACACAATATTCCAGAAGAGACCTCACCAATGTTGTCTACAACCTCAGAGGTCTGAGCAATGAAGGCAAACATGCCAAACGCCTTTCTACCCACCCTGCCTACCACTCATACTGAATTGGTAAGTAAAAGACATTCAATTTGCTTGAAAATCTCAAACAGGATTGGTATATAGACAAATTGATACCTTGAAGTTACAAAGGAACTTGTGTACACATCCTCAGTCCAGCATGCTGCTGCCTGGACTTCTCATAGTGTTGCCTCATTATTGCTTTCAACTTTTAAAGCAGTAAGGCACCAGAAAAGCAAGAGACAGCTCCATTGGTCTTAAATAACTCGTTTTTCTCTTGTACCTTTCACAACCCCAGGATGTCCCAAAGGACTTTGCATCCAAACTTCTCAGATACTCATCTGAAGAGATCCCTGGGAATGTCTCTTTCTTAGGAATGGAGCCTTGTTATCCTTCACACATCTGAGAGAACAGATGAGACCTTATTGATGTCTCAATGGAAAGAAGATGCCTCTAATAGTGCAGCACTTCCTCAGTTTTGAAGTGCCGGACAGGATCATGTGCTGAGGTCTCTGTGAAGGATGTCAAAGTGAATTAGAAGTCATCAAAACCAACAGCCAACTTCAAAACATTTATGACATCCTGTTTCTCAAACAACAAGGAATTAATGTATCCCTGCCTTCTTTGGAACTTCCTCTAGTGCTTATCTGCCTCTAACCCTAAAAATCCCACACCCACTTCCCACCCAATTCTAAATTTAAATGACTCCATTATTTTCTTTTGTGACTGGAGTTACATGTTGGCCACGTTTGCTGCTTATAAACAAAAAAACTACAGATGCTGGAGCATCTGTAACATCTGGAACAAAAACAGCAATTGCTGGTTAAATTCAATAGGTCCAACAGCATCTGTAGAGAGAAAACGGAGTCAATATTTTGGGTCCAGTGATCCTTCATCAGGACAACCAGACCCAAACTCTGTTTTGTCTCTCCACTGATGCTGCCAGAGCTGCTGAGTTTCTCCAGCAATTTCTGAGATTGCTGTAATTTCTAAGATGAGTTGTAATAGCAATCAATTTGAGTTTTATGATTAGTGTTACTTTCCAGTTTTTAAAAACTCCCTCAGATTGAGAATTGAAACCATGTCCCCAAAGAAAATGCCTGGAATTGTGGGCAACCAACAATGTTCCCTCAAATGTGCATGGTTACATGTGCTTGCTACCACTCTGAGGTACCTCATAGTGAGCAGCAGCTGATCGTGGCATTGACTTCTGGTTCCATCTATAAGTTGTTGCTGCACATGGATCTCGCAGGCCTGTGCAATCAGAAACAAAATTAAAGGGAATCCAGGGACATTGCGACTACACTATTAACATATTGGATCCTACATGCAAGACCTTCATTCTCACTGTCACAGACATAAAATAGTTATAAAAGTAAATGGTTCCCAGTGCTCAAATTTCGTTACAAACCCAACAACTCCTTCCAAGTAGCTTCTCCTATCAAGGGGGAAGGCGATGGCCTAGTGGTATTATTGCTGGACTGTAATCCAGAGACCCAGATAATGTTCTGGGGATCTGGGTTCAAATCCCGCCATGGCAGATGGTAGAATTTGAATTCAATAAAATATCTGGAATTAACAATCTAATGATGACCATGAATCCATTGCCAGTTGTCAGGAAAAAACCCATCTGGTTCACTAATGCCCTTTAGGGAAGGAAACTGCCATCCTCACCTGGCCTGGCCTACATGTGAGTCCAGACCCACAGCAATGTGGTCAACTCTTAACTGCCCTCTGGGCAACTAGGGATGGACAATAAATGCAACACCCTCATCCCGTGAATGAATAAAGGAAAAAAAAAATTCCTGTGAATAATACAACTCATCTACTTACACTGTATTGAGTCAGAGGTTTCATAGTAAATTTGCTGATGCTTGCCATTTGCATTTTGTCAGGACCACACATCTACATTCAAATTTAATTTCTGTGTTACACTCAATTAAATACCATTAAAATGAAGAAATTCAGTCACTTCCTCTGCTGCCTTTTAAAGAGATAACAGTCATATTATGGAAGACAGCTTTTGCCACTTACTCTTCTGTCCCTGCAATAGAATAGATGTGGAAACGTTATTTCTCCTGTGGGAGAGTTTAGGACCAGAGCGCATTGTCCCAGGGTAAACGCCTGCCCATTTAAGACTGAGATGTGAAGGAATTTCATCTCTCAGAGGAGTGAATCCATGGAATTCTTTACCATAGAGGGCTGTTGAGGCTGTGTTATTAAGTATAGGAGTTGGCGCATCATGTACAGGTTGTGCTGGACATTGGTGAGGCCTTTTCTGGAGTACTGTGTGCAGTTCTGGTCACCCTGCTGTAGGAAAGATATTATTAAATTGGAGAGGCTTCAGAAGAGATTTACCAGGATATTGCTGGGAATGGAACCAGTAAGGACTGCAGATGCTGGAAAGCTAGAGTCAATAAATGTGGATCTGG